CAATTGACATGACAAGAAAAGCATTCATGCAAAGCATCAAAGGCGACGCCAGAAAAATTTGATCAAGTTTTGCACCTAAATACTTAACAAAAGATGTGTTCTTTACAGCAGTACCATTACATGTGACCTGGAGGCTAGGACCCTGTTTAAGTTGAAAATTGAACCCAAAAGAATAGACTCTGTCTCGTTAAGATACAAGGACAATTCATATTCAATTAACCAGTCTTATAAGACTCATGCCATAACAGAGAATTTCTTCAGATTTATTTTACGAGATACAAGGATACCTGAGTCATCAGCATATAATAAAAGCTTATTGCTTAGGGTTGCAGACATGTCATTGACATATATTAGACATAAAAGAGGACCTAAAATGACCCTCAGGGGGACACCATAGGTACTCGGAATAGTAGTAGAATGAGTACCAGCCACATCCACCAGCTGCTGTCTATCAGAGATAAGACGTGTACCATGTAAGAATGTCATTACCTATGGCAGATGCTTGAATTTACATAAAGAAGAAGAAGAAAAACTTCTTCATGTGCAGTATAGTGTGATCAATTGTATCAAATGCCTTTTGTAGATCTGAAAGTATCATGCAATACTGCCTTTGTCCATTTCAAATTTAATACAATATGTAACATGAATCAAACATGTGTCAGTTGAAAAACCCTTTCTAAACCCTCACTGAAACTGCCTGTCCATGACTCGAACCCATGACTGTCAGAAGACCAACTGAGCTATCAGGCCGGCAACACTTTTTCTCTTTAATAATGAAACAGTTATAAACCACAACATATTTCCCACTATATTGATTTGTGTCCTTAAATTTCTGATTTACAGAGCATAGTGAATTAAACTCAGGGTTATATGCAGTCACAGGATGTGAAAAAATTTCAGCTTGACCAGAACTCGAACCTGTGACCCACAGAATAATGTACCGCGGCTGTAGTGATTGAGCTATCTTGCCGCTTACACATTTTCTTCCCTAAGTAGTGAACAGTTCTAAACCGTGACAGATACTTTTAGATTTTTAAATTAACAAGTAGATTAATTCTTAATTAAACAAATAAGAAATAAAAACCTTACATACTCATAGACTTAATCAAAATAACTATTTATATATTGTATAATTATCTTTACTAAAAAGGGCTTAGACAGTTATTGGTTGTGCTATTATTTATAACAGGTCAATTTGAAAGTGAACATAACTGTTCTAATACATGTACAATATCTTTTTTTTTGTACAGATAAAACACTAACCTCTTTTTTCTGTGATAGAAAATATTATGAAGGCTGAAATGTATTTTGCATCAGGGGCACCGGGCAAAACATGAAAATGCAAAAACGAACCGCTTTGTTAGATTGTATTTTCATGTTTTCATCTGGCGCCCGGTTACTTTTTGTACTTTGTTGGTTTTCATGTGGCACAAATCACCCACTATAAAATTTAGTGCACACAATTATTCAAGGGCAAGTAACAATCTACTCTATGAAAAGTCTGTTGTTGGGTTGACTCTGGAGACCCAGAGGTTGAGAACGGTGTCCCTCCATTACAAATAGATAAGACAGAAGCTGTCCTTTTCAAACTATGCACATGTTAGAAAAAAAATTAGAATAACTATTTAGAATATGAATTTTTGAGACTTTATTAATTATATTGCTTGATCCAAGTTTAAGGACATCTTCAACCAATACATGTATTATCATTTATAACTTTAAATTAAAGTCTCATCTCTTTAATAATAATGTCATAACTGTAACTCTTTAAATACAGAAATATTATAAGTCTCATCATATCAATATACTAGGATATACATGTATGCACATAACATTAATAATTCCCAGTTTCTTTTACATAAATATGAAATCCTAACATTAACATTAACATTGGTTACTAATGGATGGATTACAAAAACTAGTAGAAAGAAAACTATAATGTATAAACTCTATTATAGCTACTATTTTTAGCCAGTTAACACTGGGTATAAACACCTATAACCTATAGACTAATCAATACATGTATTATCATTTATAAATTTAAATGCAAGTCTCATCCATCTGCTGTTAGTCTTTAAATACAGAAATATACATTATATCTATATACTAAGATACACATATATGCTCATTACATTAATAATTCCCAGTTTCCATTAAAAATAAATATAACATCCTATTAACATTGGTACTTGGATGGAATTCATAATCTTGTGGAAAAAAAACTATAATGTATAGTATAAAAGTAAAAGAAAAATCTCAAATACAAACTGTAGTCTATATCATATAACAAAGATTAAGTTGTGTGAGTGTCTAAACAATAAATGCATATCTCTTACAGTAACAAATACTGTCCCTCTTTTAACATTCCATAACACTTTACTAAATATCTAACTGCATATATATCAAGTGTTTAAAATTGATAACTTCAGGATGTTATCCTTTCTCTGTTTAATATATGGACATGAGCACCTATATGCATAGCTTTAATTTTTTACCTTTCATTTTTACCAAGGATTATTTTATTAACAATTTATATACAAACACATAGAAAATAATAATAACTTTCACATTATTAGTGATTAAAAGATTCCTGTAGCAGAATACCTATATGTATGTACTAACTGAACAAACTAGAAAAGTCCAGTCTATGAGCCAGTAAAATAAAAATCAATCAATATTCACTCCTTAGGGTCTCTATGCTTTTGATGACCTTACAACTGGTAAATTTTATACAACAAAAATATTAAGTAATACCTAAGTTAGACAGAAAAGAACAAATGATTTAGTGATCATGAGTTACTTCCCCTTAAAAGAAAACCTAAACCCCCAAGAACACCCTAAACAGCAAAATTGTGAAATGTTGCAGGCTCAGTTTTATCAAGCCATGTAAAATAATGGTAGTAAGTATTCTTAAAAAGTTAGATGGTCATGTGACAGCAGTAAATGCAGAAAATCGGATATCTTTCAACATCCGGATACTGGTACACTTTGTAAACAATCATTCTGTGCAATATAAATTAACGTGATATGGATAAAATATATACGATAATCGTTTACAACAGTTCCATTCCTATCCTAATACTCATTTGCAGGTGAACGTTCTTCTTGTAGGAAAATTTTGAAAATATATAAATGAATGAAAAGAATACGACATCAATGTAGACCACAATGATATTCGAATTCAGGGTTTTAGTATTGCCAATAAAGCTACGGGACAAGCTGTTAAACTGAGCCTGCAATTTCGTGAAAATACTATCACAATGCACATGCTTTTTACATGAAGTTATTAAATACAAATATAACAACATATTTGTTTCCTTGATTTTTACGAATCAAAATAAAACTAATTAACACAACATGACATCAACTGCTGATAATAACAGCTCCTTCCATAGGCCAAAATAAAAAGCATTCCATAAGAGACGACGCCGCTCAAAACTAAGAAACAGAGGCTCTAATCGCATGTAAAACAAAGGTGAGAATAAAACAGTACGACTTTGTAGTTAAAAGAGGAGCACTTATGTCATTAAACAAATAAAAACAATAATGAAAGAAGTGAAATGATAAGCATCTATTATAATATTATTTACAAAGATAAGATTTACGTCTATCAAGAATATCGAAACAGGTGTTGGCACATATTCAAAATAAAGACGTATTTGTAAAAAGAAACACAAGTTTATCATTATCTGACTTGTTATAAAATTATGGATCGACGGCTGCCGCCCTATGAAATAAGTTTTATCTGTAATCATCATAAAGTGAGCACTGTTAGATAACATTAGATTCTGATTCAAAGTTATTTACATGAAATTGACAAGTACGGTTTTGTTCACTTAAGTTTTCATATCTTCCAGTTTCCAGTCTAATGGGAGCAACACCACAGCGAAATTTACAGAATGCAGGTCTGTATAAAGGCGGCATAATCATGATGCAATAATTCTCAACACTATAATCTTTCTTAAAAGTACAGTATGTTCTTAGTTTATTTCTTCCTCTACCTGAACTACCTACATATCTATTGATAAGCTGTTTCCAGTCATATACATATTTATCCATCAAAAAAGATATAGCACTATCAACAATAGCATGTTTTGATACATAGTTAGAAATGTTAATAAAATGGCTGAGTCTACATTCAAACTATTTTGACTTAACACGAAAATACCAAGTTTTACAATTATTGTTTGCTTTACCTTGAGCCCAAAGAGCAATTCTGATATTCAGCCTGGACGAGTTTGTATTACTTAAACGGGCCCTAAATATAGATTTCCATTGGCGAACAACTGGTGGTTGCCAGGCCATCTCACCTGCAAGTGCCGCGTTAGGTGTATATTTACCAACACCCCAAAAGAACCTCAAGGCTTTATTATGGACGGCATTGACACATGGGAAAGACCGGTCACCCAAAACCGCTGCACCGTAGCTTATCACAGACCACACAATGGAATCATAAAGTTTGTTGTAGACAGCGTATGGAACGCCTCCTATTCATTTGCATTTCACTTTAACAAGATCCAGGGCTCTTCCTGCACTTTGAGTTACATGTTTAGCAGTTATATTAAAGTCTAAGTGTTCAGTTAAAATAAGACCTAAATATTTATATATATCCACAATTTCAAATACATCGTTGCCACAAGTAAAAATTGTATTACATCTAGTAATTGCGACATGTCGAAAATGTACAAAATATGATAAACAAGATCAACAAGGAAAGGCGGCGTTCAATGAACTTAACCCCCATATGACCCAGCAACAAGAACCAGTGGCAAGGAGCCCAGGCGGACCCCAAACAAAAACAGGACAATGCAAAGACAGAGCACGGACAGGTTAATCACTAAATGATGAATAATTTGTAACTGATAAGGAATTCAAAGAAAACAAATAAATGATTGAATATTCGCCCACAAAGTCAAAGGAGAAGGGGACAGGAGACCGGGGAAAGTGGGGGTGGGGTAATCAAAGAAATAAAAACTAGGGGTAATGGGGAAGATACTTACCGTAGACGAGAAAACAAGGGACACAACTTTTTCAACTTTGCTTTTTTCACAATGATTAGTCATATCATTTACAGAGCACCAGTCATTTAGAGCATTCAACAGATACTGTAAATCATTTGAGTTCTCATCAAGCAACACAATGTCGTCAGCATATAATAAAATACAATATTGTTCACTATCAATATCAACTCCTACATTGAATGATTTCAAATATGTAATCAAATAATTGATCTATAAGTTAAAAAGCACAGGCGAAAGTATACAACCCTGACGGAGACCGGTTCTACCCCAGTAGAAAACCAAGAGAAATATTTATATCAAAGTGCCTAAATACAGTTCCGAAATACAAAAACGATCAATGGAAATACACACGCCTTGATAATTAAATAAATAAGATTGTATCATAGTTTGGGGACCTTTCTGTTGAAAATATGTCCTAGTTTAATCGTATACATATACATGCATCGTGCGAAAACTGGAGTGCAGGTATTAGTTACCCGCACTCCAGAGTATGCCCATTGATTGGCTCATTTTTGCTGGGGTTAACTTATTGTGACGGCAGAGAAAGGTAAAGCGACAGAAATATCATATTTAGATGCTCGTTCATTGGTTACTTTTCTCCGGGGTTTCATATTGTGACAACAGGGAATGTGTTTTTATGTTTGACTATGATACAAAAGAGAATGAACATCAAAACACTTGGCAATCTAATTAATACTCGGGGGCTACGCCCCCTCGTATAAATCAGATAGCCTCCTGTTTCAATGCTCTTTCTATTACTAAACAATGGCGCAAACCTTAGAAATATTAATATCAAAGTGCGCATGCGTGAGGTGTTTTTCCGGGAAATTTGTAAAAACGGAGGCCCGGCATGCAAATTGTGTCAAAATGAAATATAAGAAATTAGTTGTTATAATGAAAAGATGATGAAATTGAATGATATAGGAATGATATGGGATAATGGATTGTATATCGGACTGCAGAGAAACATAGATAACAGACAAATACACGAGATATATATACAAATACAAGGACACAATGATACATAAAAAACGATATTCGGAACAAATAACAAAACACGAATATCGACCACATGACATACTTTCCCTCTTTGGGGAATGTCACCCCGACATTCAAAAATGATAAAGAGGAAGAGCTTGAATCAATCAGACATTGCAAGTAGTAAGCTTAGACCAGAAAGTAACTAAACTACTAGGTACTACATAACTAAATCTAAATACTGAAGACAATTACAACGTGTGAGTAAAAATATAATACCTTCGGCAAAATACCTTAAACTCAAGCATGTTCCACAAAAATACCGTATGGCGCGAATCGCGAAAAACATATGTCAAGGGGAAACAAAATTTTAATTTATCAGTAGAACTGTGAATTCATTGAAGAGGTGCACTCTCAACAATAAATCCTTTATTTTTAAAGTACTGTAAAAACTATAAATTACCAAAGTAAAATATATGGTACATGGTATAAAACATGAAACGAAACACCTCAGGTACCGAACAACTTCAAAGTTGAAACACACCTTGACTATAAAGAAAAGAAAAAGCATTAATCTAATTTCCAGTTATCATTAAGCATCCATCCGTGTTTTTTCTTGTACGTCTCTGTCTCTGTAAATTGTTGTTGTAGTCCTTAGATTGATTTCTCGGTGCAGGAATGACATATTTTGAACCTGTAACAGAATGAGATGGTTTATCTGCAACAGAATAAGAAGTTTGTGTTGTTGATGTGACACCTTGTTTGCTGTTTGATGTTCCTGTAAAAGAAATTGACATACAATTGTTAGAATCATGTATTGTGAAAGAATTGCTATGCGAAACATTTGATGGACTTGATGTAAGAGAGGAATTGGAATCTAACAGAGCTGTAATGAAAACATCAGAGGAGGGATTGGATAACGAGTTCTGATCCGAATGTAAGTCAGAGGAAGCGGGCTTGTATTTTTGCATAAAGGCATCCCCATAAAGGGAAGTAAAAGGTTCCTATGCAAAACCCTGGACATTTCCTGACTGTTTCCTTCTTCACCTCATAGATGGGAATTCCAGAGGTGGGCTGGCTGAGAATGGTGTAGACATCCTTTTCCTATCTATCGGCAAGTTTGAATTTTCCCCGAACACCTACATTTCGGACCAGTTCTCGACCCCCGGGCTTCAATTCCGCTTTTTTCACACGGAGGTCATAGTACCTTTTATGTTTCTTGCCTTGTTTCTTGGCCTCTCGGTGTGCAACATAATATGCAAATTTTAGTCTGTTTTGGAGACCGGAGACATAAGAATGGCCCTTGACATGAGATTAGTCTGGTTCGATGCCAAGAAACGCATCGTTGGTAAGCCTTGGGTGGCGACCAAACATGAGAAAGTGGGGAGAATAACCAGTAGAAGAATGGGAAGTAGAGTTATAAGCATGGACAAGAGCGGAACATGAGACTTCCAATTGACCTTCTTGTCATCTTCCAGGGTCCCAAACATATTCAAGAGGGTTTCGTTAAAGCGCTCAGGCATCCCATTTCCCTATGGATGATACGGAGTTGTCCTGGTCTTGCCAATATTGGCCAACTTGCACAACTCCCGGACAACTTCGCTTTCAAAATGTCGTCCTTGATCACTATTGAACCGACTAGGAAAACCAGAGTGATAAACAAAATTTTCAAAGAGAAGTTAAGCGGTAGTATGTGCAGTTTGGTTTTTGGCAGGGATAGCATGAACAAAACGAGTAAAGTGATCAGTAATGATCAAGATGTTTTCATAACCACCCCGAGACATCTCCAGAGAAAGAAATCCATACAGACAATTTCCATTGGATAACTCGACTGAATAGGATTTAACTTTGCAGTCGTTTTATCCAATGACTCTCCGGATACATCTGGGACAGTTTCTAACCCTGTGTTCGATATACCGTTCTAACTGAGGCCAAAAGAAACGTGAACGGAACAAGGAAATAGTTCTTGTACAACCTTTTTTTTCTCTTGTATTTTTCAATCAAAATATACAAACATTCAAATCATAGTACATGTAATGAATACATAAAATAAAATGTCAATTCAATGTTATCAGATTATGACAAGTATATTTGTATGTTAAGATCTTTTTATAAAAGATTTTGACAGAAGAAAATGAGTGCTAAGAAAAACTGATAGTCCTATAAAGTGCATAGTAAGTAAGAAAGAGAGAAAAGAAAGTGTATAAAGAAAGGAAAGATAGATGAAGAATGAGTAGGAAAAAAAGAGAGAGAAAAGATAAAGATTAGTTATGTCCCTATTAAAAGATAGTTGAAAAAAAAATACATTCATAATGATATTTTACAAAGCTAATACTTAGTAAAAAAATATATTTAAAAAAAAAAAAAAATAAATAAATTGAGAAAATATAAGGAATGGACTAAACGGAGATAAGAATTGAAGATCGTTTCCTTTTCTATTTGTATATGCATAAATTATATGTCTAAATTGTGTGGTTTTGGGGTCCATTGAAATTTGACCATTTTTCTCCAAAATTTTGTAGATTGTCTTGTATTAATGATATTTCTTTTTCAATTCTAATCCTGTAAGAGACAAATGACATAAATTTTTCAAAAGTGGGTATATTTTTGCTATATTTCATTTTAAATATGAAATATTTACACAGAATTATGATAAAATTTACCGTGTTATGTTTACCTAATATACCGAAACACACCTGTCTTAAGTTTAGAGGTATTTCATAACCTTTAGAGAATAAAAATGTTTGAATTTTGTTCCAGAAAACTTGTGTTAACTGACATTCCCATATTAGATGTTCAATAGATTCTATCTCCATTGAACAAAAATCACACAAAATTGCTAGATGATAATTTGCATTTAAAAAGATATTTATTTGTTGGGACTAAACGCATTAAAAATTTGTATTGAAAACTACGAAGATTGGTGTCGATTGTAGACTTAAAAGGTATATTAAATATTGGTTTCCAATCTATTTCATTGTCATTAAATATGTTTTCCCATTTTATGGATGCATTTGAAATTTATACAACAGCTGATTTGGTGACTTTGTTTTTTTTAGTTTTTCTATTAGAACATCTTCTTTATTCCTATAGAGAAAATGCATTGAAATATTTTCTTTAAGGCACTTTGGGATAGCTGAGATTAATTGATGATATTTTAAATAATCTTGTGTATCAAGATTTAGAAGTTGTTTTGCTATTTCAAATTTGTAAAAGGCTTTTGTGCGAAAATCAAAGAGTTGGTCTATATAATTTATACCTTTTTCATGCCATTTTTTCCAGTAAATTGTATTTTGATGTAATTTTATCTGAGTATTGTTCCATTAAATATGCTTTCTAATTTCATTTCCATTTATATTAGAGGAGTTTACTATAGAAAACCATGAAATTAAGATATCTCTTAGAAATGTATTTGTTTTACAGATTCTTGAAACATCGTGAGAACTAAGATTACATTCAAAAATAAATTACCACCAAATGGTTTTAATATATTCTCAAAGAAGGCTTCCCAGTGTCCGTTGCTTTCATTTAAAATCAATCTCTTTACCCAGCAAGCTTTAATTGAAGTTAAAAATGATTTTATATCTGTTAATTTTAATCCTCCTGCATCATAGTTGTTTATAATAGTTTTACGCTTAATTTTATCTGTTTTACCATCCCATAAGAAGTTAAAAATTGCTGTTGTTAATTCTTTAATAGTATGGTCAGGTGGGTTTTCAAGAACTGTAAATGGATAAATTAGTTTTGGTAACGCAAATGTTTTAATTACTGTGACTTTGCCCATCAATGTTAGTTTACGGTGTTGCCACTGTTTTAAGCATGTTTTAAATTCTTGTAGTTTTGGTTCTAAGCTAAGCATATTCATTTTGGAGTCTGTGTAGAAAGTTATGCCAAGTGTTTTCGCATGTTTTGATGTCCAAGTTAAATTCATATTTTCTGCATATTCTAAATTTATTGTTTTGAGGGCTCCAACCTTCAATACAACTGATTTCGATGTATTTAGTTTGAGACCAGATATATTTCCAAATTCATTAATGACTTTAATGAGTTTTTCAAAAGAATATTTTTGTCCATTATTTATATATGTTGCATCATCAGCAAATAATGTCTGTTTTATTTCTTTATTATTTATTAGAAATCCCTGAATATCGTTATCTTTTGCAATCCTGTTTGTTAAAAGTTGAATACATATGATGAAAATGGAAGAAGAAAGGGGACATCCTTGTCTTACTCCCTGTTGAATATGAAAACTTTCTGACATGTGACCATTATTTATAATTACACTATTAATTTTGTTATAGAAGAGTTTAACCCATGAAATAAGAGATTCACCAAACTGAAAATAGTGAAGACATTGAACAATAAAATCATGATTTAAGCTATCAAATGCTTTTTGATAATCAGAGAAGAAAAGAAGACCAGACTTGTTTTTTTTTCAATATGTTCTATTATTTCAAATATTAGTCGTACATTTTCTCCTATATAGCGTCCTTTCATAAAACCCGTTTGCTCATTACTAATTATTTTATCTAATACTTTCTTTATTCGAATAGTAATTGCTTTTTTAGCAATTTTATAGTCAATATTTAAAAGACTTATAGGTCGCCAATTTGAAAGTGAAGTTTGGTCTTTACCTTCCTTAGGTATTAAGGTTATTATACTTTGTTTTTGAATTTCTGATAGTTCACCTTTTCTGTAGGCATAATTAATACAGTTCACAAAATATGTTTTTATTTTATTCCAAAATATCTTATAAAATTCTGTAGTAAGTCCATCAGAGCCAGGTGATTTGTTATTTTTCATTTCAAAATGAGAAGTTTTACATTCATTTTCACTTAAAAAACCTTCACACATTTCTTGTTCTTCATTTGATAATTTATTTGTATTATCATCAAAAAAAAAAAAAGGAATATCTGTTTCTTTCTGTGGAACTTTAGTGTACAATAATTTATAATATTTCACTTCTTCTTGTAAAATCTGTTCAATATCAAAAATTTCTTTACCATTTATAACTAGTTTCTTAATACTTTTTTTCTCAGCATGTCTCTTTTCTAAATTAACAAAATATTTTGAGTTCTTTTCATTTCCTTCAACATGGATAGCTTTTGATCTTATTAATGAACCATTTATTTTCTTTTCATATAAATTTTCTAATTCATTTTGTTTTATGGATATTCTTTCTAGTAGATCTTTTTCGTCCTTATTATCGGTATTATAATTATTATTATGCCCCCATTTCGAAGAAAAGGGGGTATATTGCTTTACACTTGTCGGTCCGTCGGTCCGTCGGTCCGTAGACCAAATGGTTTCCGAGTGATAACTAAAGAACCCTTAGGCCTAGGAACTTCAAACTTGGTATGGTGATTGGTCATGACCAGTAGATGACCCCTATTGATTTTGGGGTCAAGGGGTCAAAGGTCAAGGTCACATTGACCTTGTAAGCAAAAACGGTTTCCGATCAATAACTAAAGAACCTTAAGGCCTAGGAACTTCAAACTTGGTATGGTGATTGGTCATGATCAGTAGATGACACCTATTGATTTTGGGGTCAAGGGGTCAAAGGTCAAGGTCACATTGACCTTGTAAGCAAAAACGGTTTCCGATCAATAACTAAAGAACCTTAAGGCCTAGGAACTTCACACTTGGTATGGTGATTGGTCATGATCAGTAGATGACCCCTATTGATTTTGGGGTCAAGGGGTCAAAGGTCAAGGTCACATTGACCTTGTAAGTAAAAACGGTTTCCGATCAATAACTAAAGAACCTTAAGGCCTAGGAACTTCAAACTTGGTATGGTGATTGGTCATGATCAGTAGATGACCCCTATTGATCTTGGGGTCAAGGGGTCAAAGGTCAAGGTCACATTGACCTTGTAAGCAAAAACGGTTTCCGATCAATAACTAAAGAACTTTAAGGCCTAGGAACTTCAAACTTGGTGTGGTGATTGGTCATGATCAGTAGATGACCCCTATTGATTTTGGGGTCAAGGGGTCAAAGTTCAAGGTCACATTGACCTCTTGGGTAAAAACGGTTTCTGATCAATAACAAAAGAACCCTTAGGCCTAGGAACTTCAAACTTGGTATGGTGATTGGTTATGACCAGCAGATGACCCCTATTGATTATGGGGTTAAAGGGTCAAAGGTCAAGGTCACATTGACCTTGTAGGGAAAAACGGTTTCCGATCAATAACGAAAGAACCCTTAGGCCTAGGGACTTCAAACTTGATATGGTGATTGGTCATGGTCAGTAAATGACCCCTATTGATTTTGGGATCAAGGGGTCAAAGGTCAAGGTCACATTGACCTTTTAGGTAAAAACAGTTTCCGATCAATAACTAAAGAACCCTTAGGCCTAGGAACTTCAAACTTGGTATGGTGATTGGTCATGACCAGCAGATGACCCCTATTGATATTGGGGTTAAGGGGTCAAAGGGCAAGGTCACATTGACCTTGTAGGTAAAAATGCTTTCCAATCAATAACTTAAGAATCCTTAGGCCTAGGAACTCAAACTTGGTATGGTGATTGGTCATGACCAGCAGATGACCTATTGATTTTGGGGTCAAGGGGTCAAGGTCACATTGACCTTGTAGGTAAAAACATTTTCCGATCAATTAACTAAAAACGCTTAGGCCTAGGAACTTCAAACTTTGTATGATGATTGGTCGTGACCAGCAGATGACCCCTATTGAGTTTTGGGTCAAGGGGTCAAAGGTCAAGGTCACATTGACCTTGTAAGTAAAAACGGTTTCTGATCAATAACTTAAGAACGCTTAGGCCTAGGAACTTCAAACTTGGTATGGTGGTTTGTTATGACCAGCAGATTACCCCTATTGATTTTGGGATCAAGGGGTCAAAGGTCAAGGTCACATTGACATTGTAAGTAAAAATGGTTTCTGATCAATAACTAAAGAACCCTTTGGCCTAGGAACTTCAAACTTGGCATGGTGATTGGTCATGAGCGGCAGATGACCCCTATTGATTTTTGGGTCAAAGGTCAAGGTCATATTGACCTTGTATGTTAAAAACGGTTTCTGATCAATTAACTAAAAGCGCTTAGGCCTAGGAACTTCAAACTTTGTATGATGATTGGTCGTGACCAGCAGATGACCCCTATTGAGTTTTGGGTCAAGGGGTCAAAGGTTAAGGTAATGACCAGTAGATACTTGATAACCCTTATTAATTGTTTGATCACTGGGTCAGAAGTCATGCATAATAACCTTATCACATGACTAATTGGCTGCTGATAGGGGGCATACATGTTTTACAAACATATCTTGTTATTACTAATTTTATCCAATGTTTGATGTGCCCTATTTAGATCAGCTAATTCTTTAATTATAGTGTTTTCTAACTGGTTCTCATTTTTTCTTTTATGTGTAGAATATTTTATTGCAGTATTTCTTATTGTTCCTTTGATAAGTTCCCACAGAATATCTGGTGATGCTTCTGAATTTATCATTACTGCCTCATTTATATTTTCATTTAACATCAATTTAAAATCATTGTCTAAGAGAATACTGTTATTAAGTTTAAAATATCCTGGTCCCCTATTACAATTTTCAAGTTTAATATTTAAGGTAACGCACGAGTGGTCAGTTTTAAAGCCTGGTTTGATATTACATTGAGATATTAAATTAGTGAAATACTCAGACACAATAAAATAATCAAGTCTGCAGTATATTTTTGGCGTGGCATTTGACCGCCATGTATATTGATGTGAGTTTTCATTTAGTTTTCTCCATATATCAATAAGGCAACATTCTATCATCAAATATCTTTAAGTTTTTTTCTTGATTTATGGTGCGAACCAAAAAGACCATTTCTTTTATCCTTTGTAGGATCAAGAACTCTATTAAAATCGCCCCCAATTATGAAATTTTTATCATTATTTTCAAGAATATAGTTTTTAAGAAGTTTGAAAAAAGCTTCATCATCTTTATTCGGTCCATATATGTTTATAATTGTTATATCCTGATCTTTATAGTTAAGTTCTAATGCTACAAGATGTCCTTTTACAATTTCTTTAAAGCTGATAACTTCATATGTTTCTTCTATATTAAGAAGGATTGCAACACCTTCACTGTTAGAATTGTTACCACTGAAAAAAGATTCTCCCTTCCAATCAGATTTCCAAAATGAACTTTTATTATCAGGTAGATGAGTTTCTTGTAATAAGTATATATATTGACGTTCTTAAGGATTTCAGCTATTGAAAGACTTGTTTTCTTTTACTTGCATTTCCTAAACCCCTAACATTCATTGTGGTTATTGTGGATTCCATATATTATTAAAATTATAAATGATATTTTGGATGTTATTAAGAAAGGAAATGATCATTGTTTTTAGTTTATGAAGTAAGATAATTTTGTTCATTTATGAAGGTGAAGGCCATAGGGCAAATTAGTATTTAATTTCTAGATTTTTTTTCTATATGATAAGGTATTGAGTATATGTAATAGTAATATTTTTTTAAACAAAACTACAGCCAAAACAGGCTTTTATTTAATTGGGAGAAGAAAAGTTGTTGGTTGTGAGATGCAAATAAAGGTAATTGTAAATAAGATTCTTTAATGGAATTAAAAAAAAAGATTTAATGACTTGAAAGATAAAAAAAATGACAAAATAAATCATTTTAAAAAAAGCAACAAAAAAAACAACAAAACAGCAAAAATGACCTGAAAAATACACACACAAGAGAGAAAACAAGATTTAACTTCACCTAAATGGTTAAAAAAAAACCTCAAACCATGAATATCCCCCTCCATCCACAAAAAAACAATCAAAATTATTATTTAAAAAATAATTCAACTGAGAAACTAAGGTAAAGTAAATACAAATATGTATAGTCAACTAGAACTATTATG